TGACAGAGGCTGATAGCCCTGGGTGGCACCAGGCTGCCAAGCCATGGAACCGTGGAGCACTCTGAGCTGGAAGGATCCACCAGGATCGTCCAGCCCAGCTCCTGTCCTGCACAGATGCCCCAAAATCCCACCCTGGGCATCCCTGGCAGCGCTGTCCAAACTTTCCTGGAGCTCTGGCAGCCTCAGGGCTGTGCCCATTCCCTGGGGAGCCTGGGCAGTGCCCAGCAGCCTCTGGGGGAAGAACCTCCCCCAAAATCCAACCTAAACCTGCCCTGGCACAGCTCCAGCCCTTCCCTGGGTCCCTGGTACCTCAGCCAGGCCAGGCTCTCACTTCATTCATTTTATTGAGGCTGTGGCTCATGTCAAAGGCAGCTGTGGAAGGTCAGAGCTCCCTGAGCTCTCTGGACAATGGCTTTGAGCACAGCTCATCCTCTGCCTCCTGAGCCCAGCTCAGCTGATACCATCAGCCATCTGATGCTGCTGGAGCAGAAATGGCTTTTTAGAGCTTCCAGCCCTGCCAAGTCAGGCTCTGACTCTTAACCTTGAGAATATGCAAAGATTCCAGGTCAATAAAATGTATTTCAGAAGCCTCACCAGCAGGAAAGAGCTTTTGGTGGTAGTCCTGCCTCTGGAACTCTTCCTACCTGGATGCACACAGCTCCAAATTCCCCTGGCCCCGGCTCCAGCTTTGTGTACAACACAGCATATTCCAAGATGCCTCTTGGAATCAGAGCTTTTCAGGACACAGAGCCACATTTCCTTGCCCTGAATCCACTGAAGCCAGCCCTGCACAGAATGCCTCGCTGGCACTGCAGGACAGGAGCTGGCAGCAGGGACTGCCACCCCCTGCCACTGTGGCCTTTGGGCTGAGCAGTTTCCTCCCAGGCTGTGCCCAGGAGGGAAATGTGTTATTTATCCTTAAACTCCTCATCTCAGAGTGTGCTCCTGCTGTAGTCCAGGGATTTTCATTTTAGGCTACAAATTCAGCATGATCCTTCCTTCCTTCCTTCCTTCCTTCCTTCCTTCCTTCCTTCCTTCCCTTCCTTCCCTTCCTTCCCTTCCTTCCCTCTTCCTCCCTCTTTCCCTTCCTTCCTGGATATTTAAGTAATGGAGTGTCTATAATTTATTAATTCCTCCCAACCCTCAAATTTCAACAGGGAAGGAACAGCCAGGAGAGACTCAGAGCACACGAGGAGGGAACCAGCATCTCCTTTATATTTCTGCTGTTGCTCTGTGCAGCAGTTTTGATACTTAGCACAAAGTAATTGTTTTTAAACTAATTGTATTGGACTTCAACTAAATCTACCTCACTGTCTCCACATGATAAGGTGCTCTCCTTCTCTGTGCAGGCAGGAATGAGGTGAAGATTTTGGGTTTCTCTCTATTCACACACTCCAGCACCCTCAGAAGTGTGTGGAGGGGCACAGCAATGCCCAAATATTGTGTTTATCCACAGATGACTCGGCGCTGTTGCCAAAGGATCCAGATCCACGTCATTTTTCCTGGCAAGAAGCTCTGGATCCTTTGTGAGCTGTTTCCAATTATTATATTAACTGGGAAAGTAAACAATGCCATGCTATTAGATAGAGCTGGCACAAATAAATGCTGCTGCTCCCTCTCCAGACTTGGTTATTATTAAGAAATAAAAATATCAGCTTCAGATAGATCCTAATGTGGATTAAATGAACATCATGTTCTGTCTCAGCTGGACAAATATATCTGGGATTCCAACTTAGTGGCACATTCATGGAATCATGGAATGGTTTGGGTTGGAAGGGATCTCAGAGCTCATCCCCTTCCAGCCCCTGCCATGGGCAGGGACACCTCCCCCTAGCCCAGGTTGCTCCAGCCCTGAAATAAATTCCCTCCAGTGGATATGTCTGGAGCACAACACCCTCATTAATCCAATTGCAGCATGCTATGAAACCTCCCAGTTCCTCAAATGTTTGTGTAATGCTGTCTCTGGCGCTTGGCTTCTGCTTTACTGCACGGAAAATGATGCTCTTTCGTGCCTCTCAGATTTTAGGAATTTCCCACTCCCTGCCTTGCTCACTGAGCAGCCTGGAGCTGCCACAAGCTGCAGTTTTCCCTCTTTCCTTGCAGTTTTCATTCATTTTGTGCTCCTGTCCTCAGGGGTTGTTGCAGAGGTAATTCAAGAGCTGCTGTGTTGCCTGTAGTTCATTTCTTTGTCGAGTCTGTTGAGCCACTTCCTCCCAAGGTTTACTCCACTGCCAGCCCTTCTGGGGCAGCTGCTGCTGTGTTTAACTGTTGCCTTTGCCTCTCCAAGTGTGACACCAGGGCCCTGGACAGGAGCAGGGGGGACATAAATGGTGCCCTGTAGGGGAGAGGCATCCACACTTCCCTACATGCCAAGGGCAGGCAGCTGCAGGGAAAGCTCTGCCAGACACAGGAAACCCAAAATGCCAGGGGGGTGTGGATGAGACACCACCACTGAGCCCCTGCAGAGATTCAGCTCTGCCAGCTCCATGGGATTTGGGGAATTGTCTCTCCTTCTCATGCTGGGAGGTGGAAACACAGCTTGGGGAGCAGTTTGGTCTCCAAGTGCCAGCTCAGTCTGAGGCAGCTGGAAAAAGGAATTTCTGGCCAGCCCAGGAGCTGCCCTGAGGGGTGCAGAGAGCTGCAGGGTTTGGGGATGGGATCTGACTTCTCCAGGGCTGCTCCTGGGGCAAAGTGGGAGCTTCTCATCAGGACATGAGAGAGAAAATCTGTGCCCCAACTGCTGGGTGTGTGTGGGAGTGGGAGAGGAGAATTAGGAACCAGAGCTCCTGCTTGGGAAAAGCAGCGTTTGGATTTTCAGCTGTCACCTGGCCCTTTCCCTGTGCTGGACAATAAAGAGTGTGTGTGACATAAATTCAAAGGTACAAGGTGTAAAAAAAGTCTGGTTTTTGTTCTGAAGGAATATTTGTTGAGATGGATGCAGGATCTTCTGTTATTGGTATCCAGCAAGCCTGGAATCCTCTGATATGCAAATCAAGGTGAATATTTGACCCAAGGTGACTTTAAATTTAAAAGTTCTTGGTATTACCCTTGTAATAAAATTACCCTTTTTTCCCCCAAATAATTGAATTTTATTATTGATTTCTGTGTTACAAGCTCTCAATTGGGCATTAACCTTTTTCAAAGAGTTTAGCTACGGTGTTTTTTTGTCTGTTGAAATCTCTTTAAGATAAATTCAAATTCCAAATGCAAGACTTGACTGATATATTCCAGGAACTCCTTTCTTGGTGCCGGTTTTGGTGGCTCAGGCAGAAACTGTTGCTGTGCTGGAGACATGACGTGATGCCTGGGGCTCATTGCATCCCCTTGGGTACAAATCCTTTGGTTTTGGGACTCTGGGACACAAATGCCCCAGGGCAGGCAGTGAAAGGAGGAGCAGAAATGAGGAGCTCCTCCCTCCCCAGCCAAGCAGATGTTGTGTGGACCCAAACCTCAGGTTTGAGACATCATCTGAGCCTCAAGTTTCTTAAAAAACAAATGGGTGAGAGGCTTTAGGGAGTTTGTAATGTAAATGTAAAGCAAACTCTACCTGAGCTTCATCTCTGGGAAGTTTCTGGTTTAACTCCCAGTGTCTGAATCTCTTCCCAATAAACACAGACCTTTGGGGCTGCTGGTGCTGGCTGCAGGTGCCAGGTGACAAACACCTTCAGGAAGAGTTCTCAGGGCGCACTTCTGCCTCCGCCTGTCCCCAGCAGCAGCTCATGGAGCACTCCCAGGCCAGGGGGTGTCTAATTAAAAGTCTCTCTTTGTGACCAGTTACTGGGTTAATAAAAGGCTTCACTCATGTTGTCCTGGCAACAGAAGTTTTTGGGAGGAGCAGAGCTTGGCTCTGCCAGACACAGGTGCCACGTGGGGACAGCAGGATGTGCTGGTGAGGTGTCCAAAAAGCCGTGGTCTGCCCAAGGAGGGACCAGGGTGGCCAAAAGGGCCCTGATGCAGCTTTCCAGGGGTGTTGGGTAATGCCTTTGTACTTCTCAAGTGCCACCCAGACCCTTTGTGTCACACCAGCCCAAGAGCTAGAGGAATTGTCCAGCCTGGGAATGGGGTGTGGAGCAGGTTCTGTGCCCAGGGCAGCCTCTGCTGTCCTGGGTGCTGCTTCCACCCCTGGGACACTTCTGTGACAGCTCCCAGTGCTCCAGCAGGTCATTAACAAAAACACAAACACGATCTGAGCATGCCCTGCTGTGCTGTGGGGCTGAGGGACCTGTGCAACCTCAGCCCTGGCTCTCCACAGTGCTCATTAGGTTTGTACAAGCTGCAAGAAGTCATCCTGCTGTACATAATTTTAATTGCCTGCTCCACAATTGCCTGTCAAATATATGCTCTGTCATGTGGCATGACCTGCCTGCTAAATTGCAACAGGAATAAAAAAATACTGCAGAAAGTAAAAGGGAAAAAAATCTAATTATGGACTAGAATGGCGTTCTCAATCTCTATTGCCACCTGCAGCCTGGTGTGTTAGGACAGCACAAACAAATCAATAAAACCCGCAGCTTTTCTTCTGCTGCCTTTGGCAGTTGTGAGTAGTTTGTGCAGTGTTTGTGGGAGCACTTCGGTACCTCCTCTCTGCTGATGTGCTGTCCTCAGCCAGGAGGTTTCACCACTCATTTTATTTGCAAAATCCAGGGCTGGGACGATGAACTCCGCACCTGGAGAGAGGGCAGCAGCGAAAGGGTTAAAAGGAATTATCTGGGCTGCAGCTTTAATGCGTCTCGTGTGGAGGGCACGAAACTGAGTTTGGTAGGAGGTTCTTTGTCTGGAGCAGCCTTGGCAGTAAACAGAGCTGTGATCTCAGAGGCGATGAGGCACCGGGGGCTGCGGGCTCCGGCTCCGAGCAGCGGCTCCGCGTGTCCCAGCAGGTGCTGCCACGCCAGAGGATGGAACTGGAGTGAAGCTGCTCCTGTGCTGAGCCCCGAGCCCAGCCTCTCCTCCTGGTGAGAGTTTCCTAGAGAGCAGAGGGAGCCGAGGATGCGGACGGGGCGATGAGCGGTCCCAGGGAGGATGGCCGCTGTCGCAGGGCCATCAGCATCCTCACCGAGCTGTGCCAGAAGAAAAGCCTGCCCAGCTTGGACCTGGACACCTGCAGGGAGTTCCTCCTGCTGCCTTCTGACCAGAGCCTGATTATCTCCGAGCCAGGTACGGCCCCTGCTCCCGTCTGCTGGAGGGTGCTCGTGGAAGGCAGGAGGGACATCCATCCCCTGCAGGGGAGGTAAATGTTTGGGAGGCCCGTGTTAGACCCAGGGGTTGGTTCTGGCACCCCTCTGGGAGGGTTCTTTCCTTTCCACATGTTCCATGGTGAAGTTTTGGGTCAAGTCCTGCCTCACCTGTTGATGTGGAATGGGATGGCTGCATGGGGGGACAGCTGGGATAAAGTTCCTGTGAAAGTTCCTTTTTCAAACACACAAGACTCCTGTCCTGTATGAAACAAAACCAAACCAACAAAAAGCAGTAAAAAGCCTACTGAAGCCACTGGGGTGGCAGGAACTGGTTGGTGTTTGAGAAATGGAGGGAATCCCATGGATTGCATGGATTTCTGTTCATCAGTAAGGGATCTTGGTGCACTTTCATGTGTGTGTTCTACCTTCCCTGAGAATTGCCTGAGTTGTTCCTGGTCAGGTTGTTGAGCCAGGGAGGGACTCTGGTGTGCCAGGGATGAGTCAGGAGCAGGAATTCTGCTCCAGGAGCAAAGGGCCAGCTCTGTTTGCAAAGTGGGGAATTTTCCCTACACCTGTTCTCACAGCTGCTCACCCCAGAGATCTCCTGCTGTCACTTCAGAAGACATTGGCAGGGGCACTTGGAGCCCAGGCTCATGTGCTGAGGAGCAAAACCCCAAATCTCAAAGCTTTTAGAATTATTGGTAACCTGCTCAAAGATGTTTGTATATTCCAACATTTTCATAGAGGCCTTCTTCTGAGGTTCCTGTAGGTAATGATCTGTAAATCCAGTGGATTTCAGTGTTTTTTACACCATGAGTTTTCACAAACTCTTCTCCTCTTCTGAGCACACTGTGCAGCACAGCTGCCCATCAATCCCCGTCCCAGGCTTTCTGAGTCACCTTCCCTTCCTTTCTCCTGCCCCTCTCTGCCAGGATCTCATGCTGGGATGCAGCTGGCACCCCCAGCACAGGACACCAGGATTCTGCCAGTCGTTGATTTGCAGTGGTGCTTCCAGCACGGTTTTGCTGATAGCTCCAGGCAAATCCACCTCCTCCCACATCCTACTTTGTCTATAACTTAATTCTCCTCTTTAAATGAGTTTGTTTTATACCTGCCTGTTCAGGAGGCCTCTTACCACGGCTGGTTGTGTCCTTACACACACATCCTGTGCAGCTATTGCAAATAGAGCAAACAGCTTGCAAACTTACTGCATCAATTTGGGATTCTTTACCTTGCACTAAAATTAACATTTTCCTGACTCTGCAGCAGAAATACTCCACACTGCTCTTGTTCTGTCCACCCTGATATGACAGATCTGCATTTGTTTGTGCAGCCTGTCCAGGACCTCATGTTCATGTCAGGATCACATCATCATCATCTGCCTTTAGCAGGGGGAATGTCTGTGTGCTCTGAGCTGTGGTTTGAACACCAGCCCCAGTGCCCCAGGCGAGCTGGGCTGGCTGCATGAGCAGCCAGGGCTGTTGTCTCTGCTCTGCACGACTGGGCCCATTTTTATGTCTAGACAGCGCAGAGGACACAGTTTGGGCCTGACATGTACCAATATTTCTCAGTTCCTGGCTGTAAAGCTGCTCCAGCAAGGGGGAAAAATCTGTTTGCATCAAGTGTTTACTAACACAGTCACAGAGGTACGATGCCTTCCCCATCAGTGTCTGGATGTTTATCTAATTATCTGCATTGATGCTTTGTCCATTTTATCCTGAAGTCTCACATGGAGCAGATTTGCTCTGGGCTGGCTGCGGTCCCATGCTCAGACCCAGCAAAGCCATCCTCACAAAGGCAGGCAGGGGCAGGTGGGGCTGTGTGGAGGTGAGCAGATGGCACCAGGCAGGTGCTGTGTCAGGAGCAGGGCAGAGGAGCCCTGGCTCCTGCTGGAGTGTCCCCATGTGGGCAGCACCGCCCCAGCAGCCAAAGGCCAAATTTGATGGAGTCAAACTGGCCTTATTTGTCATCTTCATATGGTGTCTCCAGCTTCTCGGGCAGTTTGTTGCCTCCTGGATAAATCTATTAACTGCTGGCTGCACCAGCTTGGCTTGTGGAGTGTCCTGCTGGAGTTCAGGTTGAAGGAAGCACTGCCAAAGCTGGAGCCAGGCTGCTCCTGCACAGCTCAGCACAGGGGCAGCTTGGTCTTTTCTGCTGGTTCAGTTTGGTCTTTTCTGCTGGTTCATGTGTGGATGGGGAGCAGTATCTTCAGGGAATGTGTGGAGCCAGGTATCATCAGCCTTCTTGAACTGCATCCAAGAGTGGAAAAAACCTGTGAATATAAAAACATTACTGTATAGTTTATGTAACAGTAAGTTCTTGTGCGGCGATTTAATGTTTTTTCAACCATTCTGGACTGAGTGGCTGAAAGGGCTGCTGTGGATGGAGTGGATGCACCTCTACTCCGTGGTTATGTAACAGCTGAATCTCCTCCTCACAGCCAACAAGAGCAGCTGAGCTGCAGCATTTCTCTGTGCACACCCAACAGAGGAGCATTGCAGGCTGCTGCCTCGCCCGCAGCCAAACCTGTCAGAAAAATGAGGATTTTGGCTGGGGAAGGTTTTGGTGCCGCTGCCAGGGGGCTGTGAGGGGGAGCTCTCCTGCAGTTGGGCCCGTGGCAGTGCCAGGAATAGAGCTGATCTCCTGGCTGGCCCGAGAGGGAGCGAGCTGCAGCATCCCTTTGTTGTGCCTGTCTCCAGTCCTCCCCCGGAGCCGCCTCTATCTGATCGCTCTCTTCCCTGCCAGGCAGGGATGCTGGCAGTGTCACCCGTGCTGTGGGGACAGCATTTACCACAGGTGATGGCCCTTCAGAGGATCCTTTCTGTGCCCTGGAGGGGCAGTGAGAGCTCTTGGGTGTAGCTGAGAGGGTTTGTGGTGCAGCTGTACTGAAGGGCAAAGTCCTTGGCTGTGGAGCAGGGGAGTCAGGACCCCACAGGACCGTGGGGACAGTGATCTGTCCCCTCTTCCCATCCCCTCTGCCCATGGAGTGGAGCTGCAGCAGGCTCCAGGCTCTTTGGGACACAGGGCGCTGTGCAGGCCCAGGAACTGGGCTTGAGTGGTCCTGCTGGGTCCCTCCCAGCTCAGGAGCTTCTGGGGTTCCCCACAGCGTGCTCTGAGCCCCCCTGAGCTGGGTCCTGCTCCCCCTGCTTCACAGAGCCTGGCTGGGACAGAGGCTGCCAGCCCGTCCCAGGAGAGCCTGTGGGAGAAAAGGGAAGCTCTACTCATCCTGAAATGATCCTGCAGGGCTGAAGAGAGTTACTAAAGAGAGTAGGTTTAGATGGGATATTGGGCAGGAATTCCTCCCTGGGAGGGTGGGCAGGCCCTGGCACTGCCCAGAGCAGCTGTGGCTGCCCCTGGATCCCAGGCCAGGTTGGACAGAGTTTGGAGCACCCAGGGACAGTGGAAGGTGTCCCTGCCATGGCAGGGGTGGCACTGGATGATTTCAAGCTCCTTCCCACCCAAACCAGTCTGGGATTCCATGATTCTGGAACAAGCATCTGGTGATGTTGGTTTAAAGGATGGTGCCTGGCTACAGGAAGGAATTTATCCTGGGATCAAAGCACATCCAGGAGAAAGCCTCTGGGTTTGATTTCTACCTTCAGCTCTTCTGTGCTGTAGCTTTCTTTAAACAACCAAACAAGTTGGGGTTTTTTTTTTGCCTTAATGATCCATTTGTATGAAGCTTTGCTGCCCAGTGGAACCAGGGCAGGAGGCAGAGGCTGATGTGCAGAGGGACTGCAGGTTGTCCCCAGCAAACCCTGCTCATCTCAGCGTGGTGAGACCCCTCCTCAAACCCTCTCTCGTGCACTGACCCACCCCGGCAAAATGTCCTGTGCTTTCCTGCTGCAGGAGGAGAATGCTGGGGTGAGAGGAGGGAACAGGACAGCTGGGGAAGGCACAGAGCCAGAGAGACCTCCTGGTAATCCGTGCTCCCCAGCACACGGTGTCAGCTCGCCTGTGTTCCAACCCCCGATAATTCAGAGCACATTTACTGCTTTGCCCCTTGTGTGAACTGCTCTTTTTGAAGGTCCTGGTGCAGGCAGTACAGCTTGTACAGCGCTGAACACCCTCCTGGCACTTGGCAAAGACTATTAAAATGTTAAACCAAGCACAGAAATGTTCTTGCTGCAGGCAGAAAAAAGGGAATTTCTGGGCAATAGAGGATTTTTCATCGTGGAACGTTGGTGCAGAAAGATCTTTTTTTATTGAGAAATTGGTTCTGGAGTATTTTCTGGGGGGAAAAGAAACAACTATCATCTGATAGATTAGCTTGACTAATGGGAGAACTGATGACACCCTCATTCATGGTTATGGGATGCCTTCAGCCACTACCTGTGAAATATGGGCATGTCTTGAATTTACTCACTAGGCGTAATAGCACAATTTTCTGAATTGCCATTCAAGTGCATTTTAAGTCAATATAACAGTAAACATGCTCCAAGCCACCCAGGCAAAGCTAATATTAATCACTGAAGCTTGAGTTTCCAGAGGCCCAGCATGTGAGGAGCAGCTCCTTGGGGCAAATATCTTTTTTATCACAGAGTAATGCACTTGCAAAATGGATCTTGCCTTTCCTCCCAGGAAAGAGCCAGCCAGAGCTACGTGCAGCAGATTTGTTCTTTAGCCCAAGTAAACCAGGCTGAGATCCTGGAGGTATCAGGTTCAAACCTTGCTGTCAGAGGAAGGTTTGTACAACTGCGTTGAAATAAGGTTGAAACCGGCCGAGTAAATCGAGGAAAAACCGGATTAAATCGCCTGTCTCCAGACATGTGTCTCTGCTCGTGCATTGTGTGTGGATCCGTGCCTCTCCAGCTGCCTCTGGCTATGCTCTGTGATGCTCCTGGTAAATAAAATGCCCCTCTGGAGCTGAGTGGAGTGTGCGTGTTCTGTGAGCACCTCTCTGCATAGGCGCAGCTTTGCAGCCGCCTAATTGCCGCTGCTCGCTTCATTCCCGAGGCAGAGCAGGGAGGCTGCTGCTGT